AGAGAGAGGAGAGAGAGAGAGAGAGAGAGAGAGAGAGAGAGAGAGAGAGAGAGAGAGAGAGAGAGAGAGAGGGAGAGAGAGGAGAGAGAAGAGAGAGAGAGAAGAGAGAGAGGAGAGGAGAGAGGAGAGAGAGAGAGAGAGAGAGAAGAGAGAGAGAGAGAGAGAGAGAGAGAGAGAAGAGAGGAGAGAGAGAGAGAGACGAGAGAGAGAGAGAGAGAGGAGGAGAGAGAGAGAGAAGAAGAGAGAAAAGAGAGAGAAGAGAGAGAGAGAGGAGAGAGAGAAGAGAGAGAGAAAGAGAGAGAGATAAGAGATAGAGAAGAAAAAGAGACAGAGAAAGAAAGAGAAGAGAGAGAGAGGAAAACCCTCGACCTTCCCGCTTCAGCAGGTATCTTATGAGACAGAAATACTATTCATCCAAGCGCGGTGATGAGCTGTAAACACCGACGCTTTTCGCTTGGTCGGGTCGCTTCTATTCACACAAGTCCTTTCATTTCACGTTCAAGGCGTCATGTCACTCTTCCACTGAGCCAGAGCATCCAGACGGCCGGCTTCCACAACGACGATCTCAAAGGAAAACAACAATAATAACAGCAACGACAATAATAAGCGAATTGAAACCTTCCGGGCAAAATGTAGACCAAGATTCGCGCGTAGAATGTAACAGTTCTCGGTTATCGTTTATTATTTCCTCCAGTCATCGTCGCTCTCGTTTTCCTCTCCTCCTCTCTCTCTCTCTCTTTCGCTCTTCCTCTTTCTTTTTCCCTCTTCCCTCTCTCTCCTCTTTTCCTTCCTTTTCCTTTCCCTTCTCTTCTCTTCCCTTTCTCTCCTCTTTTTCCTTTCCCTTCCCTTCCTCTTCCCTCCTTTCCCTCTCCTCTCCTCTTTTCCCTTCCCTCTCCCCTTCGTTCTTTCCCCTCCCCCTCTTCCCTCCCTCTCCCTTCCTCTTCCCTCTCCCCCCTCCCTCCTTTTCCTTCCCTCTCTCTCTTTTCCCTTCCTCTCCCCCTCCGTATCTTTCCCCTCCCCTCTCTCCCTCTCTCCCTCCCCCTCTTCCCCTTCCCCTCTATCCCCCATCCCTCCCTCCCCCCCCCGCCCCGACCCCCGCCCCGCCCCCCGCCCCGCCCGCCCGGTGACTAAAGGCGGCGTCAGCGCTGAGACGCCGCCGAGAAACGGGATTCCTCCTGGTGCCTGCTGCGTGACCCTTTCTCGGGCGGGGGCGGGCGGCGGAGTTGCTCCGTCCGTCCTTCGCGCCTCCTTCGGGTCTCCTTCGGGGCTCCCGGCTCCAGGCGTGAGCGCTGCGGAGCGTCACGTCCAGCAGGTCACGTTTTTGCTGATAGGGGTTCGCATGACGTGGCAACAGAGTTAGCACAGCTCTTCCTCCTTTATCTCTTGCTCTCTTTTTGGTGCTCTTTCTCTTTCTACTCTCTCTCTCTCTCCCTCTTCCTCTCCTTCCCCTTACATCTTCCTACCTCTCCCTCTCACTCTATTTCCTTATCTCTCAATCACCCTTCCTCTGCCTTTACCTCCGTATCTTCCGCTCGCCCCTTATATTTCCCTCCATCTCGCTCTCCCCCTCCTTTCCTTCTCCCTCCCTCACCTCTCCGTCGCCCTCTCTCTTCCCCTTCTTCTCCTTCTGCAAGACCTCGATACAAAGGCCTCCTGGACGCGGCTGTCATCCCCATTGAGTGGTCGCATCCCGGGTAATGGGGTCACAACGGTGTTCGGGCGCCGGGCACGGTTTCACAGCCGAGGTCAAGGGTTCATACCCGCTCGTGCTAATAACGTCAGCTTTTTTTTCTAGCAACTCGTCCCCTCCGACGACGAAACAAACCAAGAGTTCCAGGTTCGAATCAAAATGCGTTCGTTCGTCTGTGTGTAAATTGACGAATGTTTTATTACCAGCTTCCTGTAACACCAAACCCGTCTCCGAAGTCATGTGGAAACGCGGGAGTCAAAGCGAGCATCGAATTACTCGTCTGGAAACTGACACCAAAACCTATATCGGACACACGAGCCTCTTCCTGCCTACACAGACCCGACGCGAGTCTTACCGGGCGACAAGCTGTTGTGTAATTCCTTCGACGGATCTAACGAATTCGGCGATTTCTATTGTGGGTCGTCTCATTTATTCCGACCACGTTATAACACGCTAGGTTTCTACTGTCGGGTCTTCTCGTGATGCGTTCCTCTCATGCCGCGATATACAGGTGTTTTCTACGCGTCGCTCCGTGGGTCACGTCCCCGCCGCCGAACGACATAAACATTACTCTCCGCGAATCACAATTTATACAATCTACAATCAAAGTCAATCGAATACAGAGCCAACGTAATGTATTCCCCTGTATGGCGCGGCACAAGAAACGCCACTGTAGCGAGATCTCCAAGGCAGCCAGATTCCCAAGACCTCCATGATTACGGCGAACAATACAACCCGTTACAGACGTCGGTAATTTGCCCAAACGCCCTACGGTAAAAGGAGAAATCACACGTCTCAGCCGCTATAAATAGTAGCCCGTTAGTCGAGTGATATGAGGACGAAAGCGAACACATTTCGAGAGGGTCATGAGCAGCAACATATGCGGTTTCTAAGTGCTATGAGGGGGAACATGTGGCTGTCCAGAGAGACGGAGTGTAACGCGATATGTGCGGGGACGTCATGTGTCAGATGCTGGGGTCCAGATGTCAGTCATGGGTCCCCGAGAGGAATGAAGTGCGAGGGACGTGCACGACATCAATCCCGCGAGCAAAGAGTTAATGATTACGTGATAAAACCGCTTCCTTGGACACTCCTCGAAATTCCAACGGCCAGAGGGAAAAACATGCGAGAAATTACCACACTTGGTATTTTGATCTTTCACGGAATCTAATCTATTGCATTATGTGTTCTTGCTGGCCGGGAAAAAACATCGATTTAATAACTGATTTGAAGCTTTCCTCGCCCGTTCTCGCGCCGAACCGGAAGGAACGACTGTGCTCGCATATTTCACATTCTTCCCTCATTAGCAATAACGGTCCAGATCTTTCACTGCACTCATTTTTTTTTTTACATAACGAAACCGCGGTCGGAAAATACCGCATGCAACTCCAGTTCCTCCCGAAACGGCCGAACAGTACGCTAAAACACCGCGCCCCGAATGAATAACGAAACGAGATACGAAAAAATGAGAAGCGAACGAAAGGTAGACAGGTGGCGTGAACTTCGCTTCAGGGAGACAGACCCCGAGTCGGCGCTCTCTCACTGGAGGACGAGGCATCAAGGGCGACGATTTACGACAGGTACTAAGTGGCACTCGGACAGATGTGCGCTTTTTTCCCCCCTCTTGGTGTCTTTCTTATCGTTATTTATCTTTATTTCGTGGCTACGTGTTCTACTGTTTTATTTCCTGATTGATTTCCCTTTCTCGGATAATTCGTAAACATTTGCGTATGATTCCTTAAGCCCCTCACCCGTCTAATCCTTAAACGGCTAAATGTTGCTAATATTCGTATAAATAAATCAATAAAATATAGTGACAGGACAAAATAAATAAACATACAAACAAATGAATAAATAAACACATAAAAATAAACAAAAAACAAAAATGCAATCCAAGCCCAGCAGCTCACAGGTTAAACGCGAAGGTCAAGGAACAGCGGAGGTGGGAGAGGTTAAGCCGGAGGAGCGAGCGGCGGCGAGGATGGGCGTGAGGTCAGGCCAGGGTCACCCACCCGCCGGACGCGACGCTCGATTCGAGTGGCGCGCCCGCGCTCGGGGTCATTTCACGATCAACTTTTCGACCGAGTTGAGAACAGGTCAAGAATGAGGCAGAGAAGATAAGATTTTGTGTCGACATGTGACGCATCGTTTAGGCATTCGACTCAAGAACAGATCAGTCCCGAAAAAGAACAGGAACTCGACTATACTTTAACTAAGAACTTCATCGACTTGATTATCCTGAGGCAAAAGTTCCCATCCCTAGCCACGCCCCCCCCTCTCTCTCCGGAGTCCTAGAGATCCGTAAAACCACCGCAGACCGAGAGATCCTGCACGCTCGCGATTAATCATTCATTTCGGGCACTTCGCTCGTTCACCCGTAATGCTCCGCCCTCACGGCACGGCTGCCCCCGCTCGCTCGCCTACCCCACGCGCCCGCTGCAAGGTCACTGACCCCGCTATCAGTGTACTCTGCTTATTAGCCTCATCTGGGTCTTGCCACCGAGACGACCTCTCCGCCCATTTGGCCCGGGCGTCCTCCTTATGAGGCTCGCGAGGAGGGCACTGCATCACGCCTAACGATGGTAAATATGGCTCCGATGTCACATTACGTGTCGCATACTTCATTCCCCTGTGATTGGGAACGTCCGTGCCGGTGTGTATGAATCATTCGGCGATGCGCTGTATTTCTCTCGGCCTCTGCGACGCGCCTCCGTTTACGAGTGGAAGATAATCCGTCTTTTTTTATAAGGAAAGGAGCAACGCTGGAATTCAGAAGGACTCGACCCTCATCAACTTCATCTGGGTACACCCTGGTTAGTCCCTGGTCGAAATGTGGGGCTCGACTCCATGTAAGGGAACGCCAGTTATACATCCTGGTGTGTATGGTTCGTAACTGTACTACCTCCGCCCCTCTCTCTCTATATAAAAAAAACCCTTCCCACCCTTTCCACGATCTTGTTCTCCTTCGCACTCCCTCCTCCGTGCTAGTGCGTGCTTCACCCTGCGACCCGAGACCGCTTCGTCGTCGAGGCGTGACCTCCTGGAGAAGCGTAAAGCGTAACCTCGTACCAGCAGGTCGATTCAACCCGCACGACCCCCGCGTTGCCGACGAGGAAGTGTCAGCCTCTGGGGCGACTAATATATAGGAAAAAAGAGTCTATCTAGAGAAAACAATTCATTTAAATCAACCTGGAGGAGTCTGAGGGTATCCGATCCGCCAGATAAAGAGCGATCAGCCCCTGGCTTAGAGACGAGAACACTCCCGGGGAATGCGACCCGTGGGCGGCCCCGACTCGAAGCGGGTTCTGGC